GAGACTCGACCCTCCCGCTTGCCGGGGCCGATGCTCGCGAAACCTCCGCTTCGGAGAATGAGGTGAACGATGTGGAGATGGATTTGGTTCCGACAGAAAAGGACGACAGCCAGACCCGTTCCGACCACCCGGATTCGATGGAAACCACCACGTCGGGCGACGACAACAACGTAACCAACTCGGCGTCGGACAGTGTGTATCCCACTCCCTCCAGCATGTCCATCTATACCGCCCCCACAGAGACCCGGGCCCATTCGAAAGCAGAGGCCGGCGTTGCGTCAGCTGATCGACCCTCTTACGATGACCAGGTTGCACAGGTGACCCAGTTTATGATGCAACCCATGAAGGAAAAACAAAAGGGATATGTGGTGTCGAATTCGTGGCTGAAGCGAGTGTACTCGCGGAGTGCTACGCATGCAGACAAGGCAGACAAGACGGCGATGGAGGGAGACATCGGTCCCGTCGATAACTCGGATATTGTCCTGGTCACCGACCCGGCCAACACGGGCTTCAAGGACGAGGAGGGCGAACCCTTTGTTCCTTTGAGGCCTGGCTTGGAGCTCGGCGAAGATTTTGAGATCATCCCTCAAGGAGGCTGGGACCTGATCATGCAGTGGTATGGTTTGGCAGAACAGTCCCCGGCCATCGTCCGTTACGTTCACAACACCGCCGCCGTAGGCGACCAGGAGAACCTGCAATACGAAATCAACCCTCCGATCTTCACGATCTTGAAGCTCACGAACCCGTCTGCCGGCACTTCCATCAAGACGATGAAGGAGAAGACGATGGCTCCAGTGAGAACCCTGGCCAGTCGGCACACCAACTTCCAGAAGTGGCTGAAGAACGCCAAAGAACTTGCTTACATCGACATGTCGACCAAGGTTCGCGTTTGGAGGATTCTGGGTGGTCTCGGTAGTGCCACGGCATCCGCAGCAGCCACCCCAGCCGCATCCCGCAGTGCTTCTCCAGCCCCGTCCGCCTCCCTCATCGCCAACGCTGGAAGCAACCTCGTTCTCGACCTGAACACCTTCCTTTCCCTGTCTGAGGGGTCGCAGCGTGAGGTACTCGATGAGCCGAAGGACCAGACGAACAATCCCAACTACAATGGTAAAATGACTCTGGGCGTTGCGGGTCTCAACAGCAGCGAAATCATCGTGTTGGAGGAGAAGCTCCCTGGAACCAACGGAGACTGGGTGTCGGAAGCCTCCAAGCAGACACTCAACCGTCTGGGGGTGCCATCCGGTAACCTGAAGAACGGAGCTCCTGCAAAGGTGAAGACCAAGAGTCCTGCTACCAGCGGGCGATCATCCCCGGTTTCAGAGCCCATCAGGGGACGACGCAAGGACGGGAAGCCCCGCGGCTGCACTGGTCTGAGCAACCTTGGGAACACCTGTTACATGAACTCGGCCCTGCAGTGCGTTCGCAGCGTGGAGGAATTGACCTACTATTTCTTGAGTGCGTAGACTCCCGAACTTTGAAAAGTCTACCCTGCTAACTATCTATCTAGATGACGTTTACAAGAAGGATCTCAACCCCAGCAATCCTCTGGCTCACAACGGTGATGTTGCTAAAGCATATGCGAACATGTTGCGTCAGATGTACGATGAGGCAGGTCAATCTTCGTTCGCGCCCCGTCAACTGAAGCACACCATCGGCCGTTATGGACCGGCCTTCTCCGGTTACGGACAGCAGGATTCCCAGGAATTCCTTCTGTTCCTTCTGGACGGTCTCCAGGAGGATCTCAACCGTATCATGAAGAAGCCCTACATTGAAAAGCCGGACTCGACGGACGAGATGGTGCATAACAAGGAGGCTCTCGCGGAGTTTGCGGACAAGTGCTGGGACATCTACAAAGCCCGCAACGATTCCGTCATTACCGACCTCTTTGCTGGTATGTACAAGTCGACGCTGGTCTGCCCTGCTTGCGACAAGGTCAGCATTATTTTCGACCCTTTCAACAACCTGACCCTTCAGCTTCCAATCGAGAACCTCTGGGGCAAGGAGATTTTCTACTTCCCCTTGAACAAGAAGCCGGTCCTTGTTGATGTCGAAATCGACAAGAACGCCAGTGTCAAGGCGCTAAAGGAGCAGGTCGCAAAGAAAATGGGAACCGACCCTGAGCGCCTCGTGATGGCCGAGATCTACAAGAACAAGTTCTACAAGATGTTCGACAACACGAGCTCGATTGCTGAGTGCCAGATCAGCGGCAACGACGACATTGGTATCTACGAGGTCGAGTCGGTACCTACGAACTACAACCCCGACAAGCCCCAGAAGAGCTACTTCTCCTTCAGCCGCTCGGATCATGAGGAGATCCCCAGTCTGGACTCGCCTCGCTCCGACCGCTTGCTCGTCCCCATCTTCAATCGAGTCGAGAAGAAACGGGGAAACAACCCTAAGAATGCGCAGCGGTCGCTCTTCGGAGTTCCGTCGTATGTGGTCATCAACCGGGAGGAGTTTGGGGACTATGATACGATCTTCCGCAAAGTCCTGTCGCAGGTCGCCTCGATGACCACCCGTGACTTCCTGAATGAGGAGAACACGACAGAGGTCAGCCATGAAGACTCAGATACCGTCATAATGAACGAGGATGATGCGGAGTCGGCTGACTCGAAGATCAAGACCGCGTCCGTGGACGGCGAGGACGGCATGGTCGATGTCTCGATGCGTGACGCAGATGACAGTTCAAGCGATGCTCCAGCCCGCTCCGAAAACGCTATTCCCCCGAATGTGCGCGGTCTTTTTGAGATGAAGATCATCAAGTCGAGCAGCGAGGTTGTTCCCACTGGATGGTCCACCGTGGATGACCACAAGGAGTACCCCAAGATGTCGTTCAGAATCAAGACACCGGTGAAGAAGCAGAAACAGGTGAGCAGACCTCTCTCTTTTCAAACCGAAGCACTACTAAGCGAGGGACAGTCTGTGGACAGCACAAACGGCACGGAGCAGAAGGATGACGAGTCCGGAGATAAGAGCTCCGACAGCGCTAGTGGTGAATCGGCTCCTAAGCCCAAGGCTCAGGACCGGCCGATGATCCGCCCCGGTGAGGGTATCGTAGTGGACTGGACTGAGCAAGCTCACGACGCTCTCTTCGCCGGAAGCAGTCGAGACAAGAACTCCCTTCGTGGTGCGCCGACATGGACGGACGTCGAACGTGTGCCTGACCCGGAGTTGAGCAAGCGCCGTACTCTGCGTCAAAACCGGAAGAAGCGGGGCGTGACGCTCTACGAGTGTCTGGATGAGTTCAACAAGGAGGAGGTCCTTTCCGAGAACGATGCTTGGTACTGCCCCCGCTGCAAGGAGCACCGTCGGGCCAGCAAGAAGTTCGAATTGTGGAAGACCCCGGACATTCTGGTCATGCACCTCAAGAGGTTCAGCGCCAGCCGCGGATTCCGCGACAAGCTGGATGTCCTGGTCGACTTCCCTGTGGAAGGACTCGATATGACCGGCAGAGTTGAGTCGCCTGAAGAGGGCAAGAGTCAGATCTACGACCTCTTCGCTGTCGACAATCACTATGGAGGCCTTGGTGGCGGACACTACACAGCGTACGCCAAGAACTTCTTTACCGGGCAGTGGAACGAGTACAACGGTAAGATAGCCTAAAACGTAGAACATCGTACAATGACTGACTTGGACTAGATTCTTCCGTCTCGCGACCAATTGATCCGCAGAGTGTGGTCACCTCATCGGCGTATCTGCTGTTCTACCGGCGCCGGTCCGACCGGCCACTGGGCGGCAAGGTGCTGGAGGAGATCACGGAAGCGTCGACACGGCCGAACAGCGACGTGGACTCGCAGTCCGAGTCTCGCGGACAGTCGCCGTCGGGGGAAGGCCGGCGTCTCGGCGGCTCCTCCCGCAATGGGTCGTCGAGCGCCTTAACCGGAGTCGGAGCAGCTCACCAATCGGGAGATGGTGGTTTGCCAACTGGAACCCAAACGAAGAGCGGGGATGATGACTGGCCGCCGGGCTACACCAACGTCCCGTCATTTGGCGAGCAGAGCCTAGATCGCGCGACGCAATCGGAAGGTATGAATTTCGAAGATGAGGAGATTGGCGGGGGCACGCAGCCCAGCCCGTTCCGCCCTCAGGACGACACACCCTCGTGGTCGTTCAGTCGCGCCACAGATGCTCACGGCCCTTCACAGATGACCACAGTTCCAACTGACGACGAGGATCTACTCGACGATGACGCGAGCAACCGGGCGGTAGACGACGGCGACGTCAGCGACCCGGACCTTCGGATGGCCTCTTTGATGGACAGTCCACGCGGGGCCGCCTATCCAGGTACCCCGATGGAGGAGACGTCATTCCCGGACATTTCGGCCTTCGCAGCGGACGGCGACGATGATGAGGAGGATGAGCTGCCGGTGGTAGAACTCCAAGTGCATGATGAGGACCAAACACTGCCGTAGACAGGGGGGATGATTCTCCCAATCTCTCTTACTGTCTTTTGGAAAATGTGCAACGAATGATTACAGGTGTCTAGATCGCCCTACGGGGGATGGCGATAATGATCTTTCGCAGAGTGGATGATGATTTCGAGGAATGAAGTCGACGACCCTTATAATAGCCATGGTGTTTTGTTTTCTACGCAGCCCGGGAATAGGGAGGGCCGTGGATGGTTGCATGCATTTTTACGGGATCGGATGGCGGGTGCCGTCCTGCATTACATGTATTTTCGGAGCAGCTGGAGATGTTTCAGAGCAAAAAAGGGTGTGTTGAGTGAGGTGATGTTTTGCAGAGGGATGATATGGGGATGATGTGTGTGTATGGATGAACCACGTGGGAGGTCATGGCGAGTCACACGCATGAGGCCGCTGTCATGCGATGCTGTAAAGCGAGGCTACTGCTAAATATATACTACTACTTTCATACCAGCCAGGCCATAGAATTCAAGTTATGTGGTCTTTTATGTTGCTCATATTTGGCTTTTAATATATCGATTGCCGTCGGTATGCAATCCTGACAAACCACTGAACACAGAGTAGAGTTACTCCTGACAGCCTCGCCTGCCTAATCCGTTCTCTCACTCATCTTCATCTGTCGATCTATCTGCTCTACTTAGACTTTCTTCCTGCTTACCTTACCTTTCTACTGTTCTGTCAACTCAATCCTCCAGCACACACACACACACACACAGTCATCAATCAGACTAGCTTCTTCAACACCCATCATCTCCTTCACATCCAACCTATATACCTCCCTCTTCCCTTCTCATCATAACCCCGACCTCAACCAAATCATACAAAACTAAACCCAACCCACCACAATCTCAAACCAAACCAAAAATACGTCCACCGATGGCTTCATCCCCAGAAGCACAGAAAACCAAAAATATCCCCAACGGATCCGCATCTAGTACGCACACCACGAACGCGAGAAGAAAACCCCTGATGGATTTCTCGTCTCTGCATCCGTGCTCTGCCTCGATGGATGATGAGGACGACGAAGGTAGTATGCAATCATCGCACGCAAGGGTGGGATCATTCTCGGGGATGCATACAGATTCGCACTCACATTCTCATCCATTGTCATCGTCGTCGTCGTCGGCTTCGACTCCTACTCAGATGCAGAGGTACACTCCGTATCAGCCAAGCAATAAATTTAACTCGAATTATACGATTCCTTCGGGAAGTGAATCCACCCCGAAATCGACCACTACAGCCATCACTGCCAGATTGAAATCGAAATCCAAGTCCAAGTCCACGACTGCACACGTCCACTTCCTGGACCAGATTGATATCTCAGATACAACTACAACTACAACCACTTCTGCAGCTACAAGCACAAACATGAACGGAAACAAACGCACAGAAGCAGATGGAAATGCAGCTGAAGAAAACACCATGCCTCTTGGTCCTCGCAGTCGGGATCTCTCTCTTAGTGAGAGTGAGATTAGTTTGCTGGATATAGGACCTAGTCTGGTGTATGGTGATGATGGATATATTCCTCTGTCTGCGGGTGGATATGTGCGTGAGCATGGGCAAGGTGATGGTGGTGGTGTTTCGGTGGTGGGGAGGGGGATGCAGGGGTTGCAGTTGGAGTGAGGAGGGTAGTTTGTTGGAGTTTCTGTTGTAGATGGATGGAGTTTATAGTCTCTTGCTCTGTAGGGTCTGTGGGATAGAGGAGTTATTCCTGTTGTTAGAGTAGTGTAGAGTATTTTCCTTTTCCGTCTGCTTGTTCTTGCTGCTTTGTACTATGGACATGAATATCCTGTAATTCTAATACTTCATGAATATTACATACATTATATTCTATATGCTCTAACGAAATCTATACAAGAGTCTCAATAGCTCTCAATCCAATAAATTCTCATTTACAGTGGAACCGGCCACCCATCCACATACGTCAAATAATTATATCCCAGCCGTGCTTCCTGAACCACACACTATTAGCCATCACCATCCCAAAAATAATTAGATGAACATACCTTGAACTCATATCCCACAGATTTATTCACTACCACAGCAAAGTTAGCACCATGAATCGCCATCAAAAAAAGACTAATGAAAACTCACAATAATGATAATAAAGCACATCCCCCTCCACCTCCCCACTCAACACGCCCTGTCCCCCAGGCGCATAAACATCCCCATTGGAGCCATACACAATCTCCCCTCCACCATCCACGAGATCCTTCCCTTGTTTATCCACGAATGGTCCTCGAGGGGAAGGTGAGCGTCCGACGCGGATGCTGTATCTGTTCCATTCATACCATCATCATGATCAGTATATAACTCCTTTTCTAGTCCCTCAAACAATGACAAGTAACAGGGGGCGGGGGAGGGGAAGGGGAGGGGAAAGAACATACTCCATCCCAGCCTTGGGCAACTTCTCCGGATCAAAATGGCAACACTTCCCCCAACTAAACCACAGATACCACCATGGCTCATGATAGGATATAAAAGCCCCTTCGACGGGATGCATGCCCGTCGTGTCGCCACATAATCCATCGGCTTTTTTAGTGGGTGGGTGGATGGCTGCTGGTTCATGGGCTAGATGTTTCACTCTTGTTTCTTCTGCTTCTTCCTGCTTGTCCATATGAAGCAGGTTAGGCTTCAGCGGGACTTGCCATATCCCTGTCCAGAAACTGCCGAAGGTCATGTATCCTTTTCCTTTCGATTTCTTGTCACCACCTTCTTTGGGAGATGGCTCTCCTTCGGAGAGTTGGGATGCAGTATAATCAACAACAACACTAACATCAATCGCATTCGCCCTATCGAAGGGAAACTCCTTCCCTCGTTCCCCCCGGCCGGAGATCGCTATGGCGCCGTGATCGACCCAGTCCCCGGGTCCCGGGGTGGAAGAGGTGGCTACGCCGATGGCGCTATCACGACATCCGCTATGGCTCGTCGCGTAGAAGACGTAGAATGTGCCGTCGTGGAGGAGGGCGGTCGGTGCCCAGGGGGCTTTGCGATCACCTTTGGGCAGGATGCTATCTGCGTCGAGAACGGTGCCGGCTTTGGTCCATGGGCCTTGGAGGGTCGGGGCGGAGTGGATGGGGATGTGAGGGCCGGAGCCGTAGGCGTAGTAGGTGTTTGTGGGGAGGTCGTAAAGGATGCTGGGGTCGTGGATGTGGAGGGGTGGAATGGTAGGGTTGGTTGGGGGTAGCCGTAGATGGATTTGTATGTGTCTTCTGGGGTGGGTGGAGGGAGGTCTGGGGATTCTGGGAGTTCGGGGGGTTGGGGGATGGTGGAGGGTTGGAAGTGGATGTAGAGGGCGTAGAGGAGGATGGAGAAGAAGGTCAGGAGGGAGAGGGATTTGATGATGCGACGGAGGGTGGATGGTGATGGGGAGATGGAGCTAGTGCTGGTGATGTCTTTGGGGTTGGTGATGAAGGTCCATAGTTGGGACCAGTTGGGGGTCATTGTGTGGTGATGGGATGGTGGTTCATTGCTTGCTTGCTTGCTTGTTTCTTTGGTGGCGGGATTGATGTGGATGCTCAGTCCATGTGGGATTGCCAACTGGTGAGTATGTTGCAATTCGGGATAGCGATGATGCGATATTCAGGATATAGACTGAAAAGAGGGGTATTGCAGCACCCTATATTCTGGCAAGTGACACTGGACACTTTATTTATTTGTGGCCGGTTATCATGAATAGATGATGGTAGGTCTTGGCGAACCCCTTCCTGATGTTTCTCATCTACATATCCAATTAGTATCACTCCTGTGTGTTCCGGGAAACAACTCACATATCTGATGCTGGAAACACTGCAAGGCCAGCTGCATAACAAAAGCAGTCAGCGCTAGCGAGAAGGACGGGGGAAGGGAGTTCAATAAATATCAGGAAGAATTGGCCCGTCCGTTCGGCGATGATCGTCGATCCGGCCCCAGTAAGACGACGGGCCAATCAGCGGGACGGCATGTGATGCCGTCTCAGCTAAAGTGAGGTGCGAGGATCACCATTGCTTGGTGGTTACACATTTACATTGACTAGGTTCGGTAGCTACGATTACTGCTTCTGAATTATGGCATATAGTGGATCATGGCAGTTCAAGTAGCCGGAACATCATTATACGCATCAATAGCATACAGGGTACTGGGATCAACGCATGTCCTATCCAGCTTATAGCCGACATCACAATTGGCAGCTGGAAGTCATGCTAAGCACAAACCAACGCCCTCGCTCCATACCCTTGGCAATAGATAGATATCCTACCTCACTACAATCTTGTCCACCTCGTCTTTCGCCTCCGTCCACGTCTCCAGGTTCTTGCGCGCCCAATCCAGATGGCATCGTGCATATGCAACCTATCCAGTCAGCTTGATTCCCCCGGGAAAACAGCAGTATGAACTTACCATGTAGCGCCGGAGATCCATCTCCTTGTCCTTCTGAAACCGCTTCAGATCCTGCAACACCCCCGCACTGGCATCCTTGACATCCTTCTCGGACACCCCAAGAGCCTGCTCCAACTGTACCAAACTCTCTTTCGTCTTGCCGATCTGGTCGCGGCGGGTCCGTTCCGGATCAACATCCACAAAGCCGTGCACCGCGTGGCTGATTCGACCGAAGATCTTGTTCGCCACAAACGTCCCGCTCGACGTCTTACGATGCGCCGGGGATGCACCCCCAAAGTCCGGACGCCGCTGTGCTGCCGGAGGTGGATGGGAGTTGATGGAATCGCCGTGCGTAGGAGGGAATTCCGAGTCGACTGATGCACCGTCTTCAGAACCAGCTGGACGGGCCTCGCCCTCGGAGCCTCCTGGCGCACTGACGGCCGACGATGCGGACAGAGACCGCTGCGTTCTCGTGGCCCCACCTGGAGGCGATGTCCGATTGAGGTACTGCTCAATGCGTTTCGCTTCCATTTCACTGCGCTCCAAAGAGTCGAGCAGCGTCTTCTTCTTAGCCAGCTCGTCTCGCGTCATCTCTTCCTGCACCCGCTTGAGGACCCGATAGCGCAGAACACTGCGCACAACGCTGGCAAACTGGGCGCTTTCCCTCATCGGTTCCGCGAAGCTGGCACTCAGTTGCGACGACAGCTCCTCCGTCTCAATGTAGGAAGTATCAGCGGCTTGGCCGACCCGTTCGATGGCTGCTGCGACGGTCGGCGATGGCTCCGACAGGGAGAATCCGTTATACCGTGCTCCCAGCTCCATCAAATCCGCTGACAAGGACGACAGGTGGGCCAACGTGCGACGATTGACTTTTTCAATGTTCCCTTGCAGAAGCAGCTCCAACTCACGTGTAGACGCCTCGAAATTGATAAAGTATGGGTCAAGTTCCTTTTCACTCAGCTTCCGTGACTCTGGTGGGAAGCGACCGAGAACATCAGGCCCAGGTGTTTCTGGAGCGGGAGCAGGAGCAGGCGCAGCGCCTCCTGCAGACTTGAGCTTCGCGGACGATGATGGGACTGGGAGCCAGGCATGAGCGGGGGTGGGATTGGCGGGGTCAAGCGGAGGAGCCTTGAGATTATTCTTCGGCACAGACGATGCAGGATGGGAATGTAGGACCTCGCTCTGGACGAAATCAGTATACCACAGCTAGAGTCGAGCTATCATCACACCTACCCAGCTAACATTGGGGTCCAAAAACCGCCACCAGACTCCATCCTCACGAACCTCCTTCATCCGGCGACAACGATTCAAGAAGACGGCCAGCATGCGTTTGCGGAGGTCGATTATGGCGGTGTCTTCCTTAGCCTTGGTGGGCTTGGCGGCATAATCGGCCATGGTATGTTTCTCGGGAATGGGCGGGATGACGAGGGTGGGATGAAGGTTGACGAGGGTTTGTCGCAGTGACGCGAACTCGGAATACCGTCTGCGGACCTCCAGATCCTAGAAACAATTAGCACAAGTGCTGATGCAGCTTCGATTATCATTCTGACATACTCCAGTGCGTATTGTGTACACAATGAAGCTGCCGCCGCCCTCGTGGTTCTTCCCAGCGTCTGTGATGAGGATCGGCATCTCCGGGTTTTCGTAAAGAATCTGCTCTATCCGACTATCATATACACTCTTGCGAAGGTAGCCATGGCCAGCAGGTTGGGTAGCATAGTCTGGAGCGTCGTCTTCGTCACTGAGGTCCTGTTGCTGTGAGAGGAAGTCCGGGGGATTGTCGGTGGATGATCGGCTGGAAGGAGAGGGAGGGGTATATTCGCGGTCATAGAGAGCTGCAGAAGTTAGAAAATACAGCTGGATAATTGATGGTCGGAGATGGAGATTGACAGCTTACTAGGAGAAAGGGTGGCCGAATGCAGCGACTCGGAGAGATGCGCCTCGTTATCGAATGCGCCGTACGGGTTGTTATCCTCGTCGTTCCACATGGCGTCGGGGGGCTGATGGAGCAGCCTAGATACTGAGAGAGTGGGTGTGACAGATCAAATCATGAATCAGACAGGAGGATTAGAAAGCAGAGGCTAAGTTCACGAGACTAAGGGACAGATACAGGGAGGACAGGAGGAGGGAATGAGCTGGGGAATTCCGAAGGCATCGCCGGCTCTCTCGCGGGGATCAACGTCACCGCCTCGGGCGGCCGGCAGCGACCATCTCCGTCGCCCTAAATAGAACTATCAATACTACACTCCACTCCCACGTTATTCAACTTATTCCACAGCACTCCTCCTACCATCCACCCTCTGGTTCTGCAGGCTCCTCGTGTGTCTCTTCATTTGCCTGCTGCAATGCCGCTGTCAACGCATTAGGATCCACTCCTCCATGCTGCTGCTGCTGCTGCTGCTGCTGCTGCTGGTGGTAACCTTGCGTATCATAGGCGCCCCCTCTATTAGAAGCAGGCTTGCTCTCAGCTTGCCAGCTCTTCTTTGAAACGCGCTTGACATCTCCAGACACGACAAACGGCGGATCGGGCGGTAGAGTCCATTCCTTATCTGAAGCCGCCTTACTAGGAGGTTGAGCTTGAGGTTCAGCCTCCCACTCGTCCCGCGACGGAGGCTTAGTCGGTACTTTAGCAGCCGGAGTCGGAGCAGCAGGCGTACCATGTTTACTGGGAGTACGCTTGCTACCACGAGATGGGGGTGCAGGGCCCCATTCCTCCGGCGTTGGAGGTTTGTTGCTACGTGCCGGAGGTACAGAAGGCCACTCCTGCCTCGACGGCTGTTTGTCATGACGAATTGAATTACCACCGTGAGCGGGTGGTAGAGGTCGGGGTGGCGGAGGTGGAGTTGGAGGTGGTGGTGGTCGCCGTGGAGGTGCAGGAGTCTTCTGTCTGCTGGGTTGAGCCGGCGTTCTTCCGCCTTCTTTCCAGTTTCTCTTGGCGCCTCGTTCTGCGAGCTCTATCTTCTTGACGGGAGTCTCGCGTTGGCCGGTCCGAGATCGCTGGAAGCGGTCGTTGTGGTAGCCGGCGCGGAGGCTGTGTCGCCACCAGAGTGTGCAGAGACAGACCACGACTGCGATGAAGAGGACCATGGCGGCCAGGACCACCACGATTACAACGTTAGGTGACATGTTTCGTTAGGCTAACCAGCTATGTAAGTAGTGTTGTGGCTCGTAGGGAGATGGACTCATGCCTTCACTGGTCATGTCAATCTCGAACTATGAAAGGTAAGAGAAGACGACGCGTCGCATCAACATACGGCGATGATGTTCAGAGGTGTAAGTGGCATATGAGCGTGAAAAAGTCGCCCGATGCGCATGCCAGTGAATGTATTGTCTGCTGATGTAGTGATTGTTTGCACCCAAGAAGAAACCGTCTAACTCTAGTAACGTAACGTAAATTCATCTCTATACTTTTCTCTATCCAACTTTCATCGATCATGACAATTCCAAGGCAGCCTGTATCCGTGAGACCCAATCATCATGCAACAAAGACGCCTCGCCAGAAGCAAGCAGCGCCTGAAGCTTCCCCTTCAACAATGCAACCTGTTCCTGACTCAAAAATCTCGACGCCGCAGAATCCTTCGAGATCACAGCACCCGCGACACTGAAAACCCGCACGCCCAGAGTGAACGTCTCAGGCTTCGAGGCCCAGCCCAGAAGCCCATCCTTTTCAGTTTCCTTTGCAAGAATCTCCTCAAGTGAGGTCAGTCCATTTGACACCCAGTTGAAGAGTGCGTTGAGCGAACCCTCATCGTAGGAAGATTCGCTCAGCTGACGCAACCTCGCGGACCAAACGTCTACTTCGCGGACTTCGTCGATGAAGAGGTTCTGCTTTTCTTCTTCAAAGAGAATGGTGCTCTCCTTTCGAAGCTCAGAGAGACGACCAAGGAAGGAAACAAATTTAGGGGTAGCGCTGCTAAGCCTGGGCTCCTGGTCGGCGACGTATGCCATGGTTCGCTGGCAGAGGAGGCGTGAGCTGGCGTAGTTCTCGGCAATGAACTTCGAAAGGAGCTCGCTTGCGTTGAGAGGAGATAGCGCAACTGCCTTTGTTGGAGAGACAGAAGAGCATGACAGGACCCAGGAGGCGGTCGATGCGGCAAGATCGCGCAGTTCCTCATCGTCGTCGTTGAGCATGTCGTAGAGAACCAGGTAGATCTCCAACAAGACACTGTCGGTGCGAGGGGGTTTTCCAGCGGGGCGTAGGATGCGCGCGAATGCTGTGACGGATGATACGGCAGCCAGGCGCGTAGTGAATTCCTGTGAGGTGTTAGCAGGGCTTGATATAAAGTAGAAATGCGTTGAACGTACTGTCTCCTCTTGCATGGCAGACTGGAGCCGTGTGGCCCATTCCAGGACGTCTAATTCTGAGCTCTGGCTGCCCGAGATCGTCTTCAGGGCAAGAAGACATCCCTCAAGAACCAATTCAGCGTCCGATCGGTCCCTGTTCCATATGTGCTCGGTAGAAGCGTGCTTGAGGTGCTTTTCCAAGGATTCCCATGAAAGGTCAATTTGAGCGACAGTTTCATTGTGGAAGTCGAGGACAAACGACAGAGCAGATGCCAGACATGTAATCGCTACCGCTTTGACTTCTTCTGGATAGGCGCCAAGGATAACGGTATAATAAAGGTCGATCAGAGCTCGTCTGTACTGGACCCGCTCGCCGAGAATCTCCTGGATGCGCTCCAACAACCATTGACCAGCATTGGGGTCGAAGCGCGAAATATCTCCAAGAAGTGGCTCAACTTCGGACAATTTGTCCGTAATGAACATCTGCAGGACAGTGACCCACGAGATGGCCCGACGGAGAAGAGAGGGAGCGCGTGTGGTGCTCAGAGTCTTCCAAGAAGGATGCGAAGAATCGAACAAGAACTCCCGGATGGCGGCGAAAGAATAAGTTTCGGAGAGATAGTTAAGAGTCGAAGCCATTTGTCCTGCATCTGTTAGCGCGTGTTATCGCGAGTTGAATTTGACTTACCTTCCGCTCCTGATTCTATGCACTTTTCGATGACATCGCCAAGAACCTCCAATAGAATACTGGCCACGAACGGAGACTCTGCAAACGGGAAGGATGCTGCAAAGACGTCTTTCAGGGTAGACAATACCTCATCAACGTGCTCTGGGAAATATTAGCAAGGACAATACACCGCCTGTTAATTACGAGCATACCGTTCCAGAAAGAGAGAGAGCTCGAGGCATATCTCCTGAGAGAGTACTTGATGCAAAGGGCTTCTCCGTGGAGATAGTCTTGGGTCTTCGTGTCTCTCTTATCATTCAACAAAGCCTTGATGCTGGTGAGGACATCCGAACGGTTCAGCAACGAAGCATACACTCGGGCTGCATGTTCTCTGATACCCCACACTGGACTCTTGAACTGTTCTCTGACAAGTCCACGAAGCACATCGTCATCAACTCCGGTGACGTTGGGGACCTTCTCTGCGATGAGCTCCAAGGCCGGGAAAACACGCTCGGTAACCATAGCGTTATCACCGTCATCAGCGTTGCTCTGGTCCGACGGGATGAGAAGGGTCGGCAGAAGTTCAAACAGGCCAGGGTACTTCTGGAAAGAAACTCTGGCACCTGGTTCTGAGCCGGAAGCTCCACCGAATCCTAGTCCAGTACCGGTGCGGCACATGCGCGTCAACAACGCGCGGAACAGCATCAGCCCGGAGTTACGGAGGGCCCATCTAGAATAGTCAGCATGGAGAAAGACGCAGCCGTATATAGTACTTACATAGGCGACCCCAGCCGTTCAGCCGAGAGCCTCAAGGCAGGCATGATGAAAGGCTCTGTGTGGGGGCCAAGCTTGTTGTTGGTAAAGATGTCTTTCAGACAGTTCATTGCGTGCACCTGTGGCAGTGGTACATCTTGTCTCGACTTATCATGTTCCGCGGGCAGGTGAGAGATTTCATGCAGCTCAGTGATGACTGTTTGGAAGAGCGGACCGCCAGGCTTTGACGAAAGGATACCGACAATCAAAGCTGGGAGACCAGCTGAGCGACGTGTAAGCTTCGAAGCGGACTCAAAGATAATTTTCTTCGCTTCCTGTACGATTGTGAGATTTGATCGTTTTGTCAAAACGGAGTCCTTACCTGGTACCACCGACTGGGCAGGGCGGCAATCTCCTCGCTGGTCGACTGGCCGCACCGCTGGCAGCAAGTAGCAAATGTCTGAGACACGGTCGAAAATGCACCTCTGTGCCGGAGTTCAGCGAGTTGAATGAAGCTGAGTGTTCCAATCTTCTCAAAGTGCTCGACCGTCAAGCCAGAGTCGCCTTGCGGGCCGTACGTTTTGTTGGAAAGTGAGGCATGCAGGAGAAGACTACGAAGTTAGTAAGAACATTCAAGCCAGCGCAAGACGCAACACACCTTGACTCGCGAAGAGCACGCCATGAGTAAGACAAGATATCCTTAGGACCGACACCAAGCTCCTCAATGGGCTCATCCGTATGGCCTTCAGGCGAGTCGATGCAAAGAACAGGCTTAACCTCGTTCCAAATCTTGTCGCAGACTTGCACAATCCTGAGATGGATAGCCTTCCAATTTTCATAGGCAGATTCCTTGCTGGAAACAAACGAATAGAAATTGGGAGTCGCAACGATGTACCTAGTTTCCGTCAGCTCCAAAGCGGGGAAACGTGCATCGAAATTACCTCAGAGCGGATACATATCCATGCAATGGCGCGTCACGCATAGAAGAGTTGAACAGGCCACCGGCAAGGGAGAGCTTTTGCTCCAACTTCTTCAGCAGGGTATCGACAACCATGGACTTGTTCTCCCACCAGCGTGCAGCGTCACTTGCACCATCCACGGCGGCTGCGCGGAAGAGGATGTGGTATAGACGGGCAACGGTGTCTGCAAAGTCGGCTCTGCTGGTGTTGCTTGCCAGTTGTTCGGCTTTGGCGAGACCTTCAATGATCTGTGGCACGCCAGCTTGCTTGTCGTTGTCGAATAGAACCTCCCGTGGGAAGAGGTTCAGAATGTAAAGCGAAGTAGCGCGTACCTCCTCGAATGGATCAAGCAGAAGATCAACCAGCAGTCTCAGCAAAGTAGGCTCAAACACCTCCACGTTGCAGAGCCACTTTGTCTTAACACCGTCCGTCGGATTGAGTCGAGAATCGAGACCGGATTGAAGGAGGAGTATCAAGGTCTTCAGCGCGGAAACGTGGCGTGGGTAAGAAGCCGTGGGGCGCAGGTCTGCCTTCAAGAAATCCACGTACTGTTGCATACACGCCCGAGTGGTGGTGTCGTTCCGAGCAAGCTTGGGCTGCTGCTTTTTGTTCGCTGGGGCTTTCTGCTCAGTCAGGCCGTCCTGATCTTCCAAGAGTCCTCCCTTGAGTCGGATTATCAATTTGCGAATCAGACTCAAGATCTCGCCTCTTGAATAGGAGTCCGACTCGGTGTGCATAGACGGCAGTCCGCTAAGAATGGCGTTCATTGTTGCAGAAGACACTGGCCTTGTCGTGGAGGGCGCAGTGATCAGCAGGGAAAGTGTCGCGATTCTAATAGTGATATCGCGGTGGAAGAGGAACTGGCCAATGGTTTCGCTCTTCAAGACAAGAACATTTTCGTCGTTGGCCCCAGCCTTGGGGATATAATCTGGCAAAGGTAAGTCCATTGCTCGGCCCACTATACAGCGCTACTTACGATCTTCGTGAATAAGCCCGATTTTCTTGGCGATTTGCAACGAAGCAAATAATAGCATGAACTCCGCCAGCGGGGCATCGCTCATATCGCCAGCCAGAAGACTGCTCAGGGGTAGCCGCTCAATGAACGATTTGAAGCCAGCCGGATCAGTCGCGAACGACGGCTGGAGAACATAGTTGGACATATACTCCAGGTTATCCAGGTTGCGCAACGACACATGGCGAACGGGCGCCACCCAAACAGACTTCAAGTCCTGAGCGTCAGGCGAAGCCTTCACTCTCTGGAGAAATGCCGCCAAAGTGTCACCTGAAGAGGCAGCAAGCTCCGCTTTGGTAGCGCGAGCCAGCAATCCCAAGACCAGAATCTGAGCTGCTATCTGGTACGTCTCCCTGCCAGAACCCTTCACAAGATACTGGGAGAAATCGATAGACAGAGCTTTGCAGTCCTCTTTGAAAAGCGCTGTCCACTGTTCGTAGTGATCTACAAGCCACTGGTCCGTCAGTGAGACCAGCTCTAACGGCGTGATGGCACTCTTGCGCAGCAGCATCTCTAGCGAGGCGAAAGAAGCCTTCAGTCGAGCGCGAGGCTCGCCAAGGACGATGCTAGGGATCGTAGCCTCAACGATCTTCTGACGGAGCGCGGTCCGGTCAATCTCTTGACGAGTCTTGGCCAACAGAGCAACCAACGACTCCAGCACCTGCTTCATCGGCTTGGGCTTGACATCCTTGTATCGGGTCATGAAGACCTCGAATACAGATAGCCAAGTTTCATCAGAGCGGGCTAGCTGCCTCGTTTCCTCACAGGTGGAGGTCCGCGCAGCGTCCAAAAAGGCACTGATTGCATTACACGCAGCAGTGGTGTGCGGATGAGAAAGAGAAGCCGTAGAATATGTCTTCAGTAGCGACTGGAAGACTCGGCTCACTTTCCTTTGGGAATAGTCAGAATAGATTCATATTGAAAACCACTTGCGCACACAACCGACAGCTTGATAAGCAAATGTTTGGAAACACTCTTACTCAATATATTCACAAGAATTGGTGAACTTGACCAGCGGGCCTTTCCCAATGCGCACGAGGGTCTCCTCGGGCAAAAGTTCTATATTCCGCGATACTTGCTCCATTTCTGATAGTGGGAGCCCGGCATCCCCGGGGGGGCCAGACGCAGGATTACCGACCATACTTTTAGTATTCTTACAAGTACAGCATGGCAACCTTCAACGAGTGGGTTCAGATATCAACCATTTACAAGAGAAAAGAAAAAAAACCCAAGCACGAGCCCGCCCCCGCGTTTCCAATCGCGACTTTTGCCTCTTGTGGATTTTCGAGAGCGGGTCTCCGAATCAGGTTAGTGCCGGGACAACAATAATCCCTACAAGCTCGGCCCAAACGGGAAATGTTCGATAAACTGCCGGCCCGGAAATTCTGGCAGAAAGCTGGACCAAGTCACGGGGCTGAAGTTTTTGTTTCTCGGCCTGGAATTATTACTGTCACCTTCTTTGCTCCGACGAAACCGCGCAGTCACCAGAACCTCAATTCCAATCCCTCCCCAAGCTCTCGGATTGTTCGCCAGTGTTCTGATCTCCTCCTCTTTTCCTTTTCCTTTTTCTCCTTTCCCTTTTCTCTCTCTATTCTCCTATCTGTATTCATATTCTCCATAACCTGTTTAATAAATTCACCCACACCTTCCCGCCAAATTCAACCACCTCACTATCCAACATGTCGAACATCTGGGACTCCATCACCGGTCGCAAACAATCCAAGGGCTCCGAGGCCACCGCATCAGCACCAGATGCTACCAGCTTCCTAGCCGATCTTCCCGACCCCTCTCAGCTCCATCCCCTCGCCGGCCTGAACCAAGATACCCTCGACTACATCACCCTCGAAGACTCCGCGCTCGACCAAACACCCGGATCGCGCTCTGTGCTGCCCTCCCGTGGATGGTCCGATGATCTCTGCTATGGAACAGGAACGACTTACCTTGCTGGTTTGACTCTCGGTGGTGCCTGGGGTCTGGCGGAGGGACTGAAGAAGACGCCCGTCACCGCTCCGCCGAAGATCCGCCTCAACGGTGCTCTCAACTCCATTACGAGACGAGGACCTTTCCTCGGTAACTCGGCTGGTGTGGTCGCGATGGTCTACAACGGGTTTAACTCCGGTCTGGGCTACGCGAGGGGTAAGCACGATGCTGCTAACAGCATTGTGGCGGGTGCGTTGAGTGGAATGGTCTTCAAGAGCACGAGGGGTCTTAAGCCTATGGTGATTTCGGGTGGTATCGTTGCTGGCATTGCTGGTGGTTGGACTGTAAGTCTACTCCTGCCCCCTTTATTTGATTATTTCCTCCATGAAAATATGAGTAACATGTTATGTTTCAACAGGTCCTGAGCAAGGCTATCCTGTAAACGCCAACAGCCGCCCATTCTCTCATAACTGTATTTTAGCCCTCGACTCGATACCTCGACCCGAGTCAATCCACCTGATCCGTCCACGCGTTTCGGAATCCCCATATGATTGTATGGTATATGGCCTCTTCACCAAAGACGGAGTGAAGGAACATCAGCCCTGCCTAATGTCCCCCACTCCGTTTTGTTTTGTTTTCTCGCTGTATTAGAACGGTTTTCCCTTATACTTTTATCCTCGTCGTCTCAAACGCACACACACACATCTTCCCTCTGGCGTACAAAGCATCGTTTGTCGCATTACTTTACAGTCCATGGGTTCGGAACCGGCATGGCAATGGGTTTTTTTTCGTTTCTTTTTTTTAGTGTCTATCTTCTGTACATATAGCGTGAGTTCTCCTATGGGGGGTTGCGGGTTAGTCTTTTTCTTTGCTCGGCGAACCAGAAGAAAAGCCAGTATTGCAAAGCAGGAGTGCTAGCTTCAGCTATCCTTAAGTTGAAACCTTAATGTGAAATTAGGGAGTAACAAATGAACAACAACTACCAATTCAAACCTACCTACCATCCCAGTGACAGCACAACAGCATGACAGATTACCTTTAAAAGACCCCATACATCCCCCATTTCCATTTCCATTTCCACTCCCACTCCCACTCCCAGACTCCAACAACCTCAACACCCCTCCAAACCCCAACCCCTTCACCTCCTCCACCAACTTAACCCCGGACCTCCTCCCCAAATCCACCTTCACCCCAACCTCCATCACCAACAACCTCACCACCCCTTCATGTCCATTCCTCGCCGCAACCCTTAACGCCGTCATCCTCCTCACATCCATATGCTCAACATCCACATCCCCACCCCCAAGCCGGAACAACTCCCTCGCTACCTCCGTATGGCCCCTTTCCGCTGCAGCGATCAACGGCGTGCGGAGATATCGGTCCGTCGCATCGGGATGCACCCCGCTTAAGAGAAGAAGTCGCACCATCTCCAGATGGTTGTTCTCCGCGGCTTGGACAAGCGGTGGTGCACTTACTATCCCCCCTGCTATCTGGGGTCGTAAGTGTGGGTTTGTGGCTGGGTGTGCGAGGAGGGCTTTCGCTATGGCTATGTGGCCGTGTTTGGCGGCGTGGGCGAGAGGTGTGTCGCCGTTGGCGTCGGAAAGGTTGGGGTTTATGTCTGGGTGGTGGAGGAGGTGGTGCGTTAGGAGGAGGTTGTTGGTTATCGTGGTGAGGATTAGGGGGGTGTATTGGATCTCGGCTGATGGGGAGGGGAATGGGGAAGAGGATGGGTGGTTTATGTCCACGAGGGGATGGGAGAGGAGAAGGTCTGCGGCGATGAGGTTGTCCTGCACGATAGCGAGACATAGGGGTGTTGTGCCTTTGGGGTCTGGGAGCTGGGGGGATATGGCTGGGGTTTTGAGGAGCCAGATGATGGCTCGGGTGGATTTGCGGAGGATGGCGCAGTGGAGGGGGGTGAGGCCTTGGGTTGTTTGGAGGTTGGGATTTATAGTGGTGACGGAGAGGAGGGATTCGAGGGCGAAGGTGGTGTTGGTGATGCAGGCGAGGTGGAGGGCTGTTGAGCCGGTGGTGTTTTGTGTGTTGAGGTCGTCGTCGGTGCTGTGGTTGAGGGCGGTTTGGAAGACGATGTCGTTGTTTTTGGCGATGGCGTACATTAGGAGTGTTGTGTTGCTGTTGTCGGTGATGTCGTAGCGGGTTCGGTTGTCTTGTATGAGTAGGTGGATGATGTGGTGGTTGTTGTGGAGGACGGCGAGCATGAGAGGCGTGCGGCCTTGGGAGTCTGTGTGGTTGGGGTCTGTGAAAGGGTAGGTGAGGAGGAGTTTTAGGATGTCTATGCGGTTCTTGGTGACTGCTATGTGGAGAGATGCTTGGCCGTTGCTGTCTGGGATGTGTGGGTCGATGTGATGTCCATTGTTTAGCAGTGTTCTGACTATGTCTGTCTGGCCGTGGGAGACTGCTATATTCAGGAGGTATTGAGACTGGTCGGGGGTGAAAAGGAAAATGTCATGTCTGCATTGCAGTAAGCTCACTACATCTGCGTGGCCGTTGTCTGCAGCTGCGAAGATCGAAGGGAGCCCTTGTGCATAGCGATTGACGTCGATATCAGGGCGCTTCAAGAGCATTCGGACAATACGGGCTTTGCCCTGGCTAGCAGCGACCATCAGTGGTGTGGGGATGTTGCCATCGCGTCCGGTATCATTCAGCTTGATTTTGCTGATCTGGAGAAGGAGACAAACGACTGACTCGTGGCCTCCCTGGATAGCAGCTAACAAAGGCGATATATCATGACAATCAGGGACTTTGGGGTCAGGCAGCCCGGAATGGAGCAACAGCTCGACCACATCTGCTCTACCACTTCTTGCAGCCAGGAACATTGCGGTCCTTTGCATAGGAGCAAGGATATTCGGCTTCGCCTTGTGCGCCAAGAGCATCCTCACCACTCGATCATGTCCTGCTGCAGCTGCTGCATTGAACGCACTTCCGAATGGACCATAGGTAGACGTGGTCTGAGAAATCTGGACTCGCAAACCCGGATCAGCCATCAACATCGTGTGGATGAACTGATCAGATCCTCTGTAGGCTGCAAGCTGGAATGTGTCTCCGAAGGCGCCATCTCGTTTTCTCCTATTGACGCCGCGTAAGATGAGCTCTTTGGCTAGGACGGTGTCATTGTTGTACGCTGCAGCGTGCAAGGCGGCCCCGAGAAAAGGATGGCTTGTATTGGCATGTATGCCCTGATCCAGAGTCGATATAACAATACTCTGTAAGCCCATCCAAGCTGCCAGAAGGAAGGGAATGCAGTTGTTGTCATTGTCCCAGGAATCTATCCAAGGCATCACGGCGGTCCTGTAGTTCTGGAGCACCCACTCCCGACCGTTATACGTGGTCAGGGCAACGCTGATGGCTCTCAAGCAACGGCTCGTGCTGCATTTCTTGCGGTCATGCTCACTTGCACATGTTCTCATGTAGTCTCGGATCTTAATAACCTGGGTCTTGAGTGCTGTATCCTGGTTTATATATTCGAGTAGAACCCGGGACAATAGACGGTTGCTGATGCGCTTGTCCACTGTAGTGATGTAGAGAAGGTTCACCACGATAACCTCATTCAGATAACCTATACACAAACCGAGTTAGTATCTCGCGTCCAGCCAGTATCGACTAGACTATCCGGAAAGACAAAGCATACGACAAACCATCCTCAGCGACAACAGTTCCTCCACACTGAGATAGCGCAGGAACTCTAGGACCACGTCCACGCAGAGATCCGCCAGACCCATGATTACTGAGATCTTTCCAGGCCTGTACTAAGGCACAAGCTGGACAGAGGAGAATCGAATACTCCATCGCTATTTATATCCTGCGTAGACATGCAGGAGTAAAATGGGTGGCTGTCAGATGAAACATGCCAAGAATGGAGATCAAACCGGGGAACTGTAAGGATGTAGCTGGCTAGCCGAATAGGATAGAAGGTTTAGATATGGCGTCGCTCACTATGGTAAAACTGCAATGTAGATCTTGAGCTGCCAGTAAGATAATCCAGTTTTTGGTGTTGTAGCTTGGTTGTGTTGTGTTGATGGCGGACCGTAACCTAGTCTCTCCATTGATATGAAACCCGTTGGTATGTGTGCGGAATTCGTGCTTCACATCCCACACCACTATAAGGCATGGGTTTCACCTAATTGACAATGCAGAATGGCCTGTGTCTAGCATCTGGAAAGAACAAAAACAAATATAGATCAACTCTGAAGTTCGTCCACCGCATATACTAGTTCAGATATATATAGTTTGCTGTTGTTGTGGAAGCTCGGGAGGTCCCGAACGCGATAGGTTCGGGAACTGTGAAGTTGGTACGTTAAGTCCAGCAGATTCCTACCTCAGAAATGATCATAGGTCGAGCGGGGTCATAAAAGAGTAGCATCTATTATTAGAATTGAGACCTAGCACATTCCGGACTGCCCAGGTTGTCCTCAGACGATTGACTTCGGTCAAGGATTAGGGTTTACGTTAAACTCAGCAAGGTTATCGGAATATCTAGTCCTCCGACATTAGAAGGTGACTATACATGGTGTCTCAGTTGATAGAAAGTAAAGTGACAGATTGTGGTTTATCTTGCTAAGGTACATTAAATTAAAACCTCGAAGTTCATTTGAATGGCATTATTGGTCAATCTCATGCCGTGTCCACCTTAGCAATCTCAAAGTCTCGATCAAGAGTGGACCCAGCCTTCAGCTGAACAACATACCACTAGCCGAGCGCCAAACTATCCCCCTTCAGACCTGGTGCTACTAACTACTTAGTGCGTACATCATCCATCAAGTTTCCCCTCCAACCACATTATCACTCTCTAACAGAAAACCAAGGTGACCACACAAACAAAATGTCTACTTCGGGCCTACTCTATGCAGCCTCAAGGCTCAATTTTCCCTCGCGAATATCATCAGATGTCTTTAACACCTGGTACAATGATATACATGTGCGTGATGTTCTCAAGACCTCGGGAATCAACTCCGCAGCCCGCTATGAAACGGCTGCAGTGCCCCAAGACAGTTCCCCGTGGACATTCCTCGCTCTCTACCCCGTCCCAGATATCGAGTTTCTGAACACTGGGGAGTTTACGAGCATCCCTGTGACTAGTGATGTTCTGCCGGGACCAACACACAGTTGTATGGATATAGCGCATTTCGATATGAGGCGATACCGCGAGGTAGGGAGACGAGGAGACTTGGATATGCCAGCAGGTGAGACTTATAAGACAAGATAAGAGAAGGGCAAAAGCTGATTCACTCGTGTGATGTTGGGTATGCTAGGTCCAACGTCTCATCTCCTTACTGTGGAATTTGACTTGCCTTCACACATTGACAAAGCCGATGACCAGGCTGTGATGGATTGGTTCTATGGGATTTGTAGTAGTAATGGCGCGCCTCAGCGGGTGGCCATTCATGAAGTCTTCTGGGCTATGTTATTCCCGAATGGGAAACCAGCAGAGCCGCCGCGTTACTTGGCATTGGTAAGCTGTATATTCCTAGCTTTTTTGGCCATCAGCTTGACTAATAGAGATAGTTGGAACTTAATGGTGACGACAATGTGTACGACGAAGCTATCAAGAAAATCCATTTGGTCGCGAATGTTGACCAGTGGAAAGTGCACAAGGTTTTTGACTGAGAATGACACCTCTGCTAAAGATTTCCATCAGAGAATGATTCGTTGCTATATTTCCAATCTTGAACATGATATGGCCGTGCCTGTTTTGGGGGCTCTTGCGTTCTATTCCTGTGTGACTTGCTGTATTCCTGAGTATGTGAATATATTTGCAAATCATAGATGCCATAGGATCTCAACTGTATGGTTAGCATAACGCGATTACAATAATCCATCTATACAGAACGCTAATGATGAGGAAAGTGAGATGTATATAGTCGAGACTCGAGAACTCGGAAATTCTGCGCAATCTTTGAGTAGATATATGAGTTGCCGATGTTCCTTTATTTGACCACAAAGAGACCAGCTATCTCCGTATGATAGTTATGATGTTGGGAAAGAAAGCACCACATTATACAGAGCTTGTTGGACTCGGATGTAGGATCACAGATTGTCGATCAACCCCGCACCGGGAAATGTAGGATGCAAGAGACTAATGTGAGCCCAGAAACGGGGCTGGGAGAACCCCTCACGCTTCTCGAAGAAGATGACCCAATCGAACGGCAATTTCAGCCACAAATTAAATGGCCCTTATCTCTGGCGTCGAGCCCCTCAAGGAGTCGCAAAGTCCAGCAGAGGAAATGAGATGAAGGACATCAAAATTGAGCCCGCAAAGGGCATTTCCTACTTCACTCCTGCACAAGAAACCCCGGCAGGAACAGCAGCCAACCCTCAGAGCAGTGGGAAGGCAGTACCAAAGCTCTTCCAGTCGATTACTATTCGGGGATTAACATTCCAGAACCGTCTTGGGGTACATAAACCAACCACCACCACCAAGCTATCGACCTATGCTGACAACAATCGGTCTAAATATCCCCAATGTGCCAGTATTCTGCCGAGGATGGACATATGACTGACTACCACCTCGCCCATCTCGGCGGCATAGCCCAGCGAGGCCCAGGCCTTATCATGATCGAGGCCACCGCCGTTCAACCAGAGGGTCGCATTTCACCCCAGGATGTAGGGCTATGGAAAGACTCACAAATTGCACCGATAGCCCGAGTTATCGAATTCGCCCATAGCCAAGGCCAGAAAATCGGCATCCAGCTTGCGCATGCGGGTCGGAAAGCGAGCACTACTGTACCATGGATGCTGAACCATGGCGAGATAGCGACAGAGAACGTCGGTGGGTGGCCTGATAACATCAGAGGGCCCAGTGATATACCCTTCAGCGAAACATCTCCGCATCCGCGAGCGATGACAAAGGACGACATCCGCGAGTTCAAGGATGCGTGGGTTGCAGCCGCGAAACGGGCCCTTGTGGCCGGAGCGGATTTCATTGAAATTCATAATGCCCATGGGTATCTGCTTGCATCTTTTTTGACTCCCTACGCGAACAAGCGGACAGATGAGTATGGTGGATCTTTTGAGAGTCGCATGCGATTGCCGTTGGAGATTGCTCAGTTGACTCGCGATACGGTGGGTGAGCATGTACCTGTTTTCCTGCGCCTTTCGGCGTCGGATTGGCTGGATAGTAGTTCAAGCGAAATCTGGAGCCTGCAGGATGCGGTGAGGTTTGCTGAAGCGCTGGCTGTGCAAGGGGCTATTGATTTAGTTGATGTTTCTTCTGGCGGTTTACATTCTAGTCAGAAAGTGAAGTCCGGGCCTGGATTTCAGGCACCGTTTGGCATTGCGGTTAAGAAGGCGGTCGGGGACAGGATGCTTGTTGCGACTGTTGGTCATATTAGAGACGGGAAGCTGGCAAATCAATTGCTTGAAGAAGGAGGATTGGATGTCATTCTTGTCGGGCGTGGATTTCAGAAAGATCCTGGACTGGTCTGGACCTTTGCGCAGCACCTTGATGTCGAGATTGCTATGCCGGGCCAGATTCGCTGGGGCTTCTCCAAACAAGGACGGAGGGGGACGCCCTTTGTCGATCCGTCAGTTTATAAACCCTCAGTGTGATAAATATTGAGTGTTTCGGTCTTGCTTTGTGCGAAAGGAATATAACATGGACTGTGACACACAAACAGAGTGTGGTAGTCAGGATAACTTTAGAGCAGATTCTTGCACGTTCTCGACAGCAATAAGTTGGATGTCTATGGCAGCTTCGAGCTTCAATTTGTAATGTGAGGAAATATGCACCCCTATTTTAAGAATACTTGGAATGAAACTAATATTGTGTAAGACCATGTGAAGTTTCTTGCTTCAGTCATAGTTCTATCTAAATCAAAGATTCTCTTCGTCCATTCAATCGGATAATAAATCAGATTTCTCCGTCTGCCAGAATTTTTTATTATTATTCTTTCCAATCCACTTTAACTTTGTTTGAATCAATACTACTGTTATACTCCCACAAGTCTGGGTTTGGTTCAGTAATACAAGTTGCGGTGGCAGATTTGCACGCTGGTAGGGAGGTCATCCCCTGTAGACGTGTATATCAATGAGTATGTATAATATTTATCACCGAACGAGATTTAATTGCGCACCGCAACAGAGGAAAATGTCAAGACAAAGGATCAAAGATATATGGACTTGATCTATCCAGATCTCAAGAAGATGGTTGGTGATTGGAAGAGGTGGTGGTCAGAGGCCACGCAGGAAGAAGAGGCGAAGAGTCAGCTGACAGCTGCCTGGCTGCAGTGAATGTCTCAACAGAAAATATATGGACTGAAGAAAGCATCAATGGTGATATTTGAAACAAAAAGCCAAAAGAAACAAAGTAATGCTAAGAAGTACGGACTTTCCGCTAGCAAAATGGTTCAAATCAAGACGATCTTTTCCCCAAGTTACTGTACAAGCCTGCTTTGCTCTGATCTGCTCTGCTCTATACAAAGCAATATCCATCTAGTCCTCCAAGCCTCATCCCCAGATCAAACTACCCCTTAATCCAATCCAATTGATCTCTTTCTTACAACAAGAAACCCGCAGTCGACCCAAAGAACAACAGCGCCAAAACACCCACACTCTTCTTCGTAACCGCGACACCAGCACCACTAGTCGACGAAGCCGTCGAACCGCTCGAAGTGCTGGACCCAGTGCTAGACGAGCCACCAGTAGCAGTAGCAGTCGAGACGACAGTGCCAGCGCCAGTGGTAGGAACGCTACCGGTAGCAGTAGCGTTGGCGTTAGTGTTACACCAGACCTCACCGGCCTCGGAGGCCTTGATGAGACATTCGGCCAGGGTACCGACGGTCTGGTCCTGAGCCAGACAGTAGTAATCGCAGCTGTCGTAGGAGACGATGGAGGCGGAGCCACAGCAGCTGCTCATGATAGCGGAGTTGTTGTTGCGCATGGGCATGGCGCAGGCGGCATCTTTGACGGGGATGTCGTAGAGCTTGTTGATGCAGGTGGAGGAGGCGGAGGCGGCGGTGCCGGTCGAGGTGGTTGTCACGGACATGGTTGTGGTATTAGTGAGTGGATTTGGTGAAGATGGGTGTGGGTTGAAGATAGTGGTATTAAGATTGAAGAACGAGTGTGAGAATGGTAGATATTTTTCTTTTCTTTTCTGTATGGATTTGAGCCACGGAATGGATAGAGTATGGAGAAGTAGAAGCCACAAAGGGTCAGGTCACTCACTACTTATAACTGTTTGGTACTACTACTTTCTTCCTATGGGTCTTCTTTTAATGTCAGTGCCTGGTACCTAACTTAAGAAGCGACCCGGAAAGGGCTAGCCATGGGTTGGTTGGTTGGTTACAGACATTGCTGTAGGTTCACCGCTACGGCTCGCCCCTGATCCTTCTGTCTATCTATCTATCTCCACTAGAGACCCTCAGCCTCCCTCAGTCCCATGTCCATTCTTCTAATTATGGGCCCTCGCTAGACCGGATCGAGCCCTACGGGCTGCGCTGCATCCCTGAGGGTCAGCGCTACCGGATCCCGAAGCGCATATGGCTGGACTATGATTAAGGGCACATGGTTGGAATTACAAAGTGACACTATGAATAGCTAACTTCTTTATTTGATCTCTTTCTCTAAACGACATCGACTATGGCTACTGAATGACGCGTGCAGTAGATAGCATGATACTGCGATATACTTAGCTCTGCTTGGCATTGTAGAGGATATACCGAATCAGAAGCACAACGGAGTGAGACAAGTGGAGGCCATCGACCCTGTCCACTCTGAAGGGAGCGAAATGGGGCGTTATGGGGGCACTGGGGATGAAGTCACTTCCATGTTGCACCCAGAGCGGTCCCTTGCCCTGGTCTATATTGCTTTTGGATTATGTTGCAGCTGCATGTTAAGCGAATGATTGGGCTACTCGTGGTGACTCCCATATGTTGCCAGGCTATGCATCAACTGCAGTGATGAGGTACATGTCACAGTCGGAGAAAGACGATACATCAAAGTACATGATGCATGCATGGCCAGGCAGCAAGTAGGTACAACGCACTCCCGTACCGAGTCATCATCCATAACTCACCAGTCGGAAACGAGCGGTTCGTCCCAACGGGAGGGAGGCGAAGAGGAATGAAAATTTCGGATCCCAGCCTTGGCAAATAGGCTTATGGGTGTCCAGTCAAGGAGTGAGGATATAACTTTTCCCTGGAGTTGTGAGATCGCCCGTATAGTCTTGCGATCTATTCGCAGTCCGGTGGCGTCGCTTAACTGTTCGCGACGGATGGCCAAGAAATCTCCAAATCTCCGCTGACATCGCCAAAGTTGCCTGCTATAATTGTCACCCGTGGAAGAGAGACAACACAGCCATCGCTGGGGAGTTTTGTTTCCTTGAAAATCTTTAAATAGGGCCTTCTATAGATAGGTGGTGAGTGGGAGAGCGGGTCAGCCGGTAAAGAATTCTGGACGGTGGTGTTGTTGTGGAGAGCCCGGGTAAAGACTATTCAGGGCTGTCCATCTCCACACCTCCCACAGGGCGACTGCTTGCCCTGCAGTTTCAACTTGATTATTCAATCAATAATCGAAACTGGACTTTTGAATGATAAGCACGAGTCAGAGACAACTGGCTAATAATTCGCAGAAAGAGAAACAATGGGGAAAGGGAGTCTTCCTCCTGCACGTAGCAGTACAAAGCACAAGCATGTTGCACAAGGCATTTCAGAAGGCCCGAGCCTCCCACCTCAAGGTTACTCAACATCTGACTGTCCATTCAAATCGATCGTTGATTTGAGATTCGATGCAGGACTCAGATGGACTGCCAGAATCAGCCAGCTGTCTCAATTAGGATGCACGAATGCCGCACCATCATATTAACTAAACTTTACCACATTTGCCAGTCTACTCTACCTCAAGTAAAGTGTAGATGAATTACACAGAAGTACTCCGTACTTAGGGAAACAAAAAATAAACCCAACTTGAATGCAGTAAATAGCATCGACTTCAGGGCAAACGCAACTCTCAACCCAGGCTTAAGCTTTAGGGTCCCCACTTGGGGGAGATCAACAGCAGAAGATCAGCTCCATTCCGGGAAAAGCCCCTTGGAAAACAATCACCCCAATGAGGTAGTCAAGTTACTAAGTTAGTTACCTGCACAAGTGCGCCCTTGCCAATGGATTCTTCATCAAGACAAGACTACTACTTATGATCTTCCCGTCACCTGGACCAGTAATCATTCTTCTACCCAGCCAAATAAAAAGCATCATTTTTGAATAATCAGTCTGACCATAAGCCGATCAAGTCATCATCTCCGGTGTGACGTTAATCCTCAGCTCAACTGATCACATGTAATGACTAGCTTCACTAGCCGATCGCAGACCTAATATCATAAAAAAGCAACGATCAACTAGAGGCAATAGTTCCATCTGAAGAGGTGGAGAAAAGAATCACATTGATTAGTATGGAAGAAATGGACAATTTCTACTCCGTAATGTACATAAAAGACCCCTGCTTCAAGTTAGAGCAACATTTTCACTTTCAGATCAGCGAGTCTATTCATCCCATTGCATCCCTGCCTTTGTTTTTTTCGCTTTCTTTATGCTGTTTAGTACTTACCCCTGCAGCACAACAACAATGTTCAAATACTCGCTTGCATGCCTGGCTCTCCTGGCAACCGGGTGTCTCTCGACCACAACCACTAGCAAGCCAGGCTATTCACGGAATATCACCTCGACCGTTACCGACCCGTCGTTTAGTTTCGGGAAACATTATGCCGTGCTTAATCTGGATCTTATCGATGGGCTGGTGGCCAACGTGAATACTACCAGGTCCGGGCAGTTGTGGATTGATAATGTCGCGAACTGGATTGATGCGTATGTATTATTTGCTCTTGAAGAACTGCGGATACTTTATACGGAGTACTTATGTCGTAAAGTGTGCACAAGCAAGACCCTCCCCCCTTGAGTATCTTCACTCGCGTCTTCTTCTCCAACACCTACCGTCCTGAACTCGGCAACACACCCTTCGCCAGCGCGGTGACTAGCCTCGGCAACGCCACGGCTTCGAGTCCCGATAGTCAGATCTATTCGGCTTTCAAGACCCTGGATAACTATGATGTGGTGCTGCAAAAGGCGCGGTATTATGCTGGTGCGGGGAATCAGCTGGAGGAGATCCTCAGTTCTCAGAAGATAGATACTGTGATTTTGGTAGGTGATGCCATGCGACGGAGTGGAAGTCAAGTCAACAAATTTGCTGATCAATATGTAACTGGTAGTCCGGGATCCGTACTTCGGGAGTAGTGCTTAGCACTGCGTTTCGTCTGTTGGATATGAACTACAATGTGTAAGCCAAAATCACGAAACAAGACTGACCACAAGAAAGGATAGTGCACTGCTAACGCATCGGGTGCTTCATGATGACAGCTACGTTATCTCGAACAATACGATCGAGACCCCTTCGTCATATGCTGCCCTGAATCAGAAGGTTATCTTGGAGGGCATACTTCCCGAACTGCCCGTCAATATAATCAGTATCGAGCAGGCCATTGGGGCTCTCAACCGCTCTGGACCAGCTGTGTATTAGCTGGAAGGCCGGACAACCTGATGGAAACGATGATACAACGCCCAAACATATGGTTATGATGAACAGCGATTACGGACTATGATCGATCTAGTTATGATAGATAAACTATACTGAATGGTAACCTTTGGAAGCACATTAGTGGTTGGGAATTTTTGTCCCCAGCGACAGCAAGGACAAAAGTCCCAACTGTATGCGTCCGACCACTGAGCGCAAATAATCATGTATCTGGAAAGCGAGCATGGGTGGCGCCTGCATGCAATAGCACAGGAAGCAGGTTGCCCTGGTGCCACACCGTGCATGAATCCCGGGTCTCGCAGGTCGGCGGCTGCATCGCACATACTTGAGACATCGAGGGCGCCAACAAATATTAATTTGCATGGAACCGGAGATAAAGATGGACTGTGTTGGGTAGAAGTAGTTTTAAAATCCTCCCCATCCAATGTTAAGTCGAGAACAAAGCATTCCATTGAGACGGTCGCCAACAATTGCCAGAAGGCGCAAACGCTGACATGCCGCATGGGCGGTGCTGGTCGTTCACGGATCCGAGCCACCGTCAATACAGTGAGTGGCCGGGGACCCTCGCCGGACGGGTTCGGAGTTGACCCGGTCGCAATCACCAAGCCGACCCGGACAAAGACAGGGGTGGAATGATAACATCAAATACCATCGCCTATTATTATACCAGGATGAAAGGTGAAGGGGATAATTCCATGCCCGGAAACTTTACGGAGTACTGCGTGAGCAGCCCGTAGTCAGCAATCGGGTCGATGAAGCGCAGCAAGGCGTGGGGTGCCAAGACTCGAAGGCGCGAGAAAGATTGACGAGAGAAGCCCGAGGACCGGGAAATCTTTCAGACAGACTTGTGGATTTGGCGAAGACCAAGTCCGCCGTTCGTCCTGAGTCAGTCATGACAGCTGAGCGCCTGGTTCGGGGGGGGGGACTTGGCAGTTGTCGGTGCGTTTTCTTAGCCCATCAGTGGCTGTTTCCATGTTCCACATCCGAAACAAATTCGACAAAAACCTGAGGAATGATGAAATTCGGATAGCTTACGTAGGTTGGGTGGCACTGCGCGTCGATCCGTTCACCTCATACCTTGAAATGGGAAGCAAAAGAGGCGGCCAACCAAAGATTGGCAGCAGAAGAATGGATACGGCCCAATTTCGATGGAAGGGACGCCAGACGAGCTAGTGCACGCGCTACAGTAGCGTGGTCGGCGATGTGCACAGTGCGTCAAATGATCGCGAGCAGATAGGAAATTAACGAGATTAAGCTGATGGCCCTAATTACGTTGGAACCAGAATTGCTTACTGGAATGGAGTTCTTGTTGCTATTATGGGATTTTTGGTGGGAAACTCAACCAGGTTTGAGATTTCAAACACCGGCGCATCTAGACCTCTCTGGGTCAACAATAGGAGTACGTACTTTGCGAGGGTATATTCGACATCCAGAACTAGAACTAGTGTTGAAGAGGTAATTAAGAGCGAAGTATACTGGCCATTATACGAAGTATGTGGTATTTCCTGGTAAAAAGGAGCTCGGGGGCCGAATGGATAGATCCTGTGAGGTGGAGGGAGCGGACGAACCATACGCCTTGGGTGGGAAGTAAGTGGAAATGGGAATATCTCCCTGGACTCGCTAAGTAACCAAGTAAATACTAGAGGTTCCGCTTCGGCCGTGGAGTTATATCGCGATCAGCTACGATCGCCACAAGTTGGTGTGACAGGTAATTCCACGATCCGATGATTGTCGCGACACCTCCCGCATTCTGCGAGGAACATTTCTTTTTGGGAAGTCGTGGTGCCTCAACCCTGCCTCATTGGGCAACCACGATTGGCACATTTTGGGTTAGAAAGCGATGGCTGGTGGCTGTTAAGGGGAGAAAGCAAGAGGGAAAGAGTAAAAGCGTGGGAAAGAGAGGCGCAAGGTTCGCAATGGCAGATCGTCAGCCCCCGTTTTCACCAACAATGCAGATTGCACCCTGCAAGGAACTTATTGGTGGTACCGGGCATGGAAAATGCCAAAAGGGGGGGGGGGGAGACTCCTCCTACTCATAAGTAGCGATAAGATTTATCACAGTTTAATAACCTACATTTAGGGGAAACACTATCTTCCCTTCAATTTTTATCAAATTATAAGTCTAGTGCAGCTTACGCAGTGTTTAAGCCAGGATTGAGATTAAGGGAGAAGGAGAGATTAGAGTATTAATATCAGGTTTGGGTGGCGCGTCCCGTATCAGTGGACAATACAGCGACGACTGCGATAGGGCCGAGGCCATGATAAGCTAACCCCAAAGCAGGCAAGATCCGGTCCTCTTCTAGTCCTTCCGCCAACGGTATTACTTAATGCGGGGTAGCGCCTTTTCCTCGTGGCGGCTAATCTCGAAGCGGCCGGTTTATCAGCTGACCCCGCCTGGATTTTTCGTTCGTTCGTTCGTTCGCCAGCGTCATCAGCGCGCCGAAGCTACTTACTCAAGTCAAGTTCTTTGCTGGATCTGCTTTTCAGATTGGCTTTCCCTTCGCCTGCTTAAGAAGGTCTGAGGTTCTGGGATCATCTCCTCGGTGTTCCCCGCCGTCCGTTCCCTCTTTCCTGCCTTTTTCTCTTCTCTCTCTCCTCTTCTTCTTTCCCTCTCTCTCTCTCTCTCCCTCTTAATTTTCTTACCTTTCATTCCTATGAACCTACCGCGATTTATTCTGGTCCTTCCCTCAACCATATAAGGACCTCTTCCCTGCTAATGCACTGATACAACACATCTCCATCCTCCCCGTTCTTCTTTTTGGCCCCCAGGGCCTCCTTCAGCGCCAAGTGCCACGCGGTTTACTTTAGGTTGACCCGAGGGATTCGCATCTAGACCCCGAACTTGCCCGCTCCCAGTCTACCATATTACCCGCGACGCCTCCTTCACAGGCCTTTTGTCAGCTGCAACAAAGGGAAAAAGACAGAAGATAAAAAGAAACGAAAGAAACAACCAGGGGAATATATACTCAAATAAAAATAAATACAGCCAGGATAGGAACACTCAATCCATCAGGTGCCCTGTTCTTTCCGTTCGATGGTCCATTCGGATTCGGCCCAACCGACCGATAGGTCAGGATCTACCGTTCACCAACCACAATTACACGAAGCCAACAACCCAACGGCTTCGGATGATAATGAAATTGGTGCACCCTCTGCTATAGTCCCCGGTCAAGGGAGTTTTCATACTCCTCCGCTTTATATTGAAAAATCTCCTGCAGAGGGACTGCAGGATGTAACTCTGCAGCACTACCCACACCCCCATCATCTGCCTTCGCTTCAGATTCGCACGGATCTGTCAAACGCTAGCCAGATGAGCCCGCCAAGGGAACCTGGGTCATTCGTGCATCACAGCATCTCGTCCAGCAGTCTCCCCCGGCGCACTCCAAGCCTGCGCGGTCTGTTCGCCGGCCCTCCAACCAGCGCAGGATCTTTGACTCTGTCTCCAGCCTCGCTCATATCTTCCCCTCAACTCATGGCCATGGGAGACATCACGCCTTTGCCATCGCCCATCGGTGGCATGTCGCCATGGAAACTGCCACGGCGCAATTCCCAGTCTTTGTCTCGGACGCCTTCGACAACCTCTCGCAGCGGTTCCAGTCTCGGTTTACGACTAAGCGATTCCTCTCAAATGCTCGGTGCTTGCGAATCCCGGCCACGAAGCAGGCAATACATGCTCCCTGACAAGCTGTCCGAAACACCTAGTGAGACGCCCATCGAGTCTCCGACAAAACCACGTCAAGGATCTGGGTCAAAGCATTCTCGCAACCGCAGCTTAAGCGAGTATGTACCTCCCGGTCGCGCTATCCCGGTCAAGCCACGGCCGATTGCAGTTTCAGGATCAGGAATGCCCCCGGGGATCACTGCATCTGTCAGCACCGACTCGAAGACGAACAACAACAGCAATAATCTTCATCGCGAAGAGTATCTGGCTGTCCACCGGGGGATCGCATTGCCTACTGTTCGCCCTCCTACGCCTCCTCGCAGCAGTCGCAGTGGCTCCGATGAACGCGATGACGAACCCGTTATAACACCGCTGGCAGCTGGCCCTGATGAGATATACTCGGTACGGTCTGTGCGCACACAACAACGTCGCAAGTACCGCAAGATACGTCAGCTAGGTCAGGGAACATTCAGTCAAGTCTCCCTCGCGGCACGTATAGAAAGACGAGAAAGCGACGACGAAACCATGTTTTCCAGTCTTCAAGATGTGAATTTGGTAACACAGAAGCTTGTTGCAGTCAAGATTATCGAGTATGGACCGGCCGGTGGTGCAGATGAGGAGCGCTTGGAAGTTTCCCTCAAGCGCGAGGTAGACATACTCAAATCTGTCAATCATCCGTCGCTGGTGCAATTGAAAGCATTTGGTAGCGACGAGAAGCGCGCGCTATTGGTTCTCGACTACTGTCCCGGAGGTGACCTCTTTGACGTGGCATCGTCGAGTCCACGGCCCATGAGTCCGCAACTCATTCGTCGTATTTTTGCCGAATTGGTGGGGGCTGTGCGCTACCTGCATGCAAATTTCATTGTGCACCGCGACATTAAACTTGAGAGTGAGTATCCTTCGGTTCTTTGCCTCGTTTTCAGCGATCAAGGCTGACACCTGTTCCTCTTCAGACGTGCTTGTCAACCTGCCGATGCAAGCGATAGAGACGATCACGGATTGGCGCACATACGATCGAGCCGTCATCACCCTCAGCGATCTGGGTCTGTCCCGACGAATACCCGAGCCTCCCGAAAGCCCTCTGCTTCAGACCCGTTGTGGCAGTGAGGACTACGCAGCCCCTGAGATCTTGATGGGACAACCGTATGATGGACGATCAACAGACGCATGGGCTTTGGGAGTGTTGTTATACGCCATGATGGAAAATCGGCTCCCGTTCGACGCATTGCCGGGCACCCGAGGCGACCCTGCCAAACTCCGCGCGCGAACGCCCCACCGCATCGCACGAGTCGAGTGGTCCTGGTACCGATATGCCGACAGCGACGACGAATGGGATCATGAAAAAGGCAAGGACCTCGAAGGCGCCCGCGATTGTGTCGAGGGGCTATTGAAACGCAATACGAAACGAAAAAGTCTGGATGAGATCGCGTCGATGTCGTGGGTTAAGGAGGCGATCGACATACCCGGCGAACTAAAGAGGGGGGATAAGGAAGTGCCATAGAGCTGGTCTCTTTTCAGTGGTTTTTTCTCCCCTCCATTACATAACACTCTTCTCTTTTCCCTTCTTTTCTTCCGTTCTTACCCTGCTTACTTACCATTCTTTCTTTCTTTTTTCTTTCGTTTTAGACTTGCATTCTATATCTTTTTACTAACATTCGTTTACTGGCGCATTGCGACCATATATAATACCTATTATTCTTGGGTTTGGGGATGGATGAATATTGTGTCGTTGAAGACACCATGCATTGCAACATCAAGAACTGCTTACCTTACCTACTTACTTTGTCCTGTTAACTTATCTAGCATGAGCCGACGTTCACTTGGGTCTTCCGGCCCGATGATCACTATTACTGTCTGTTCGTTTCCTTTTAATGTTCACGATTATTCATACTACCAACTGTGTCAGGTTTCTAGATGCTATACCATACTATAGTATACCTTTTCAAAAAGGCGCATTCGCTTTTTTTCACTTTATTACGGATTACTTTACTGATCAACAATAAGTACCACGGGTGCTGAGGAAAGAAAAGGAGACTCACCAGTGTCACAGACAAATAAATAGGTTAACATGCAGTAATTAATTAACGTGGTGGACAATTTATGATATCACCTATGATCATTTCCATGCATTTGCATTGGTTGACTAATCGATCAATCAATCTAGAAGAACTAATTACCGAGTGGTCTGTCTGTCTGCCTGTCTCCTTGCCGGATTTACTAGCTCTTTTTGTACGTAGTGAAATGCTCACCTGCTGTAAGTACAGTAAGCGAGTATGATTGCCGATCTCGAAAGAAGGCTACGACTGATCGTACTTTGGGGAGAGGGGTGAGGAGGGGAGGGGGAAGGAGGGAGGTGTTATGCAGTAAGCAATTACTACTACTTCATAACCGACATGATCATGTCCAATATTCTTGTCTGCCTGGGTTGATTATCACCAGGATAGGAAATTGGTCGTGCAGGTGAAGAGTCGGTCAGAAGTGACTATACTAGTCGTATTGATTCTCGATTGCTACATCTTAATAAGTAGCAATCTTATAGAGGTTGAAATAATGAGCGCGGATGATCGGATGGCGGGCGGATCGGTGGCTTTCGCTTCCAGGAAGAGAAGCCGAGAAATCCCTGAAGAGAACCAATGGCTTTTTGGTTCGTTTTCTTCTCCCCCGCTGACGACGGACGGCGCGCCCGTCCAGCACAAACCCCCCTGATTGGCTTCAGGCTGAAGGATGTGGTTTCGAGAAGACCAATAGAATGATGTGGCCCGATCAGCAGGAAAAGTGAGTGGTTGGCCTTTTCAATGCTGCACTGTTTTGTAAGCCCTAGACTTTTGGTACTAGTAATAGATTGAACTGTTTGGACAAATGGCAGTCAGTGACTAGGGGCAACTGCAGCGGGAGTGGAGGCTGACGACAGCTGCTGGGCGGTCTGTGTGTCCTCGAATCGTATAAGATAGATAGTAGTAATCTGTCCAGTTGCTTCAGTTGTTGTTGCCTGTCCGTCGTAAGAATGTTCATGGTACGTAGGCAGATGCCCGGATGCCCGCGGGACCCAGACTCAAAAGTGGACTCGCAGATTCTTGAGGATCCAAAGCCAAAGACTGTTGGGCTAATCGATTAGTCCCTTTTCTTCTCTCACACTTGCCACGTCCCAGGGTCTGACGGATTATCTCGAAATAGGAGAAACCGACTTTGACCCGTGGACTAGTCTCACTAATCATATAGTGTGGAGTCACCCTGCAACTGCTAAGCCCGCCGCGCGCCCCCCCAATTCGAGGCCAACGACAGTCTCCCCTGTGCTGCCATTTTTAATCTTTCTGGGCGGGACCCCCCCCCCCCCCCCCCCCCCGGCAGTCTTATATGGCGCATCTCTTCCTCCCCTTCCCGGTTTCATCTCAATTTCCTTTCCCCTCTCCCCTTATCGGGGTTTTGTGGCTAGGCTGAGAGGTTCACCGCTTAATGCTCGTATTTGATCGCGTTCTTGCGCCCATATGTAATCCCGTCGTATATCCCCTTCCTCTCACTTTTCTCCCTCGACGGGCAATGGTCATTTGGAACCATGCCTCTTGAGTCCAATGAACCCCTCGATCGCGAGGATGCCCCGTTCCTCGCCTCGGGTCAAAGGCCCTCGTCCCCAGTGGAAGAGGAGTCTGGCCCGTCGGATGCAGAGAAAGAACACCTTCGGAAAACTCGCCTTCGCTTAATGTTGACCCTTTTTGCCATGATCTTGGCCGTCGAAGTCGGCATCTGCATGTCCAACGGCCCCGTCACCCGTATATACGAGTCCATCGCCTGTCGAGAATACTACGCGCAATATGATCCCACCCAGATTGGGGCCGACGGCGAGGTCCAGGAGGAATTGTGCAAAGTTAAAGCGGTCCAGCAGGATCTGGCTGCAGTGAAGGGCTATATGGAGTTCTTCGATGGTATTCTGAGTAAGTAGTTCACGACGAAGGCGCCGCCGGTTCGGACGAGGCTATGTCGCATCTCTTGTTCCCTAGTCTCTACCAATTGGGCGCCTCCCTTTTGCACTTTATGCGCGACATATAGACGAGGACCCTTATTCACGTTCTTTCTCATCCAGGTGCTGTGCTAGCAATTCCATACGGCTTATTGGCTGATCGACGGGGCCGAAAATCCACCATCTGTCTGAGCATTCCCGGTTTCGCCCTGAACTGCATTATTCAGCTGGTGGTTATGTGGCGCCCAGACGTCTTCCCTCTGCGAACTGTCTGGGCATCCTCTTTGGCTTGGTTGTTTGGCGGAGGCCCTGTTGTAGCATTTGCCATCATCTGGACAATGATGTCGGATGTGTCAACAGAAGAAGAAAGGTAGCGTGCATCAAATTCCACAACCGTTGGTGGGACTATAGCTAATAATCATCAGAGCGGCGATATTCTTCAGGTTCGGCGTGGCTAGCATGGGAGCCGATTTCGCCTCTAGTGCCGCCAGTTCCTGGTTGATGGCATTAGACCCATGGCTTCCTCTATTGTTGGGCTGGGGTTTGGCTGTTATTGGCATGTTATTCGCCTTATCATTACCGGAAACGATGCGTGTAGGGTCATCGCAACCGACTTGGAAGCAGCCGAGCATGGAGATGAGCCAGATGTCACCCGGAAACACCGAGTATAAGGACGTTCCCAGCAAGGAACAAGAACACGAGGTACTCAGTGATGAAGAAACCCTTCAGGGGGAAGAAGCTTCTTTCACCACGAAAGCAGCACGACCAACCTTCTTCGCTTCGGCAAAACAAAGGTCGCGAGCCTATTTCGCGCCGTATTCCTTCATTTTCAGAAACAAGCAGATCATGCTCCTCCTTACCGCGTTTCTTGTCTATCGACTGAGCCGTGGCTCGTCCTGGTTTTTGGTCCAGTACATCTCCACCCGGTATAAGTGGACCCTGGCAGAAGCGAACTTCCTCATGTCATTCAAGCCGGCCTTGACCATCCCATTGTTCTTGTTCATTCTACCGGCCATTTCAAGACAACTTCTCAAAACCATGAAGCCGACCCAGAAAGACCTGCAGCTCATGCGCATCAGTATTGGGCTGTTGGCGGTCGGAACGTTGGGAATCGGTCTTTCACCGAGCGTGGCGATGTTGATTCCCAGTCTGCTAGTTCAGACATCCGGGTCTGGATTTGTCTTCCTGACTCGTGCTCTTATTACCACGTTGGTGAATCGGGAAGAAACAGCCCGTCTCTTCACCATTATCGAGGTTCTGCAGTCAGTGGGCAATGTCATTGCCAGTTTGTCCATCACCACAGTGTTCCAGATTGGACTGGAACTGGGAGGGGCTTGGATCGGTCTGGCCTGGATGATGACCGCGACGGCCTTCACTTTGGTAGGCGTCGCTATCTGGATGTTCCGGATTCCTTCTCGTCAGTCGGATGACACGGTAGAGGAAGAGAACGTGGTCTTTTGAACTGGCGATGACTAGGAAATGTACATATATAGAGTATAAGGCTTTTCACTTCATGTAAATAGTAAGGTTGAGAAAGAGAAAGGAGCTTGATTAAAGTCTGTTGATGCGAGGGATGAACTATGTTATGTTACTTACTACACGGGCGGTAAGTCAACCTTCCAGCCTCGGGTTCCTAAACAGGGAAGGTGATTACCCAAGCAGGACTAGTGCGGCATTGCAGCAGCAGCTCGCATGTGAACATCTCAATTCCCATTCCTTCGTGCTGAAATCAACAAATCACTGCGCCTTTCTGCTGGTGCCGCCAACAACCCCCCAGTCGGTTTTGAGTTGGCCGACATATATTCTCTTTGATAAGATATACTATCGATTTGCTCAGCAGGTTTCCCCGCCACCTGCCGCGCTGACCGGACAACTTACACCCACGTCTTGCTTTACAAGCTTACGGCAGTCTGCTGTCAAAGTCTGGTCATGTCCAGTCTGCAATTCCACTAATCCCTCTTATCTCGTCGTCACCAAAGCTCCCCCTTGTCATGGAGAGATTTACCCAATTTCGCGATCGAGGTGCGTGTGCAGACCCCTTTCCTACTCATTGAGCCCGCTTTCCATTACTGACGATGATGCGCTGTATAGGAACCGGTGTCTCACCCTTCTTCCCGACTCCTCGTCCATCGCTCAGCTACCCTCAGTGGATACTACGAATCTTCCTCTTCTGCGTCCGTCTCCCGTTCTTCATACCCGTCTGCATCGGCTACTTCCTGCTTTTTCAATGGCTCCCGATCACATCGCTGGGAAGGAAGGCCGCTCTGTGGTGCATCCTAGGCGTGCCCAGCATCTGGTGGGTTGATCTTCAAGTGGACGGAGTGAGGAAAGGGTCAGTTGCGCACCTCTCTGCAAACGTTATACTATTCTCTTAGAACATCTACTGAGTTGCTCGATTCTAGAACTCTCAACAACGACCGACACCAGAACCGTCTACCCGGGCCCGGATCCATCATTGCCTCCTCCTTCACCTCCCCAATTGACGCGCTCTACCTAGCCGCGGTATTTGACCCTATCTTCGTGTCCTGTTATCCCTCCACACGCGAAGTCGAACAACTATCCGTCTGGCAAGCAATTCTTCGCGCCTTCGCTCTCCCGCAAGCAAAACCCCGGCCCAAAGCCCGTACTGTCGATCTAAAAACCATCATGCGGA